TCATACCAAAAGTCATGCTCTTTAAGCATCTCTTGAATAATCATAAATATTGGAAGTTACTCATACCAAAAGTCATGCTCTTTAAGAGACATGATCCATATGAAAAGACACATCTTTTCATCTACATTCTCTAGAATATTCCACAATATTCTACACAATTCCACTAATTTCAAGTATTAAGTGAGTTAAGTTTGGCTTAATTTGTCATTCACCAAACAAGGAATTTCCACTTAAGTCATTTCAATTGGTCACAATCAAGTTCCAATACAAAATTCCAACATGAAGTGCTTCCTCGTAATTTTCCCTCATGGTGTGCATTATAAGGTGTAGATCTAAAAATCTCTAGTTAAAACTTCTGCTTTATAACAATCCAATACTCTTGTTTTTTAATTATGAAATGCACGGAAGTCACTTATTTTCATTTAGTAAGGCCCATATTTCCAAATATTACGAATATCCAACAAATGAGGATTCTTAATATGCTTGTTTTCCAATTAAGAATATTTGTCCACCTGTGAAGTCAATAAGCTCATTCAATTTTACTTGTACACACTACCAGTGGAGCAAGTTTCAGTATCTATGCAATAAATTATTAACAAAATTTTAGTTTCGTTTTCTTCTTTTATTAGGGTACAATATTATCTTCTAAACTACTTTCAAATACAATCAAACAAGCTCTTAGATTGTGGCCAATAGAGTTTCTAAACATGTCGAAGTTTTTGAGCAATTTTTAATAATGATTGTTGGGATAGGAGTCCAATAATGCTAGGACATAACTTTGATTTATAACGGAATACACGAAATCCAAGAAATCCTCGTTAGCTAATAATGAAATGAAGCTAACCCATTGGTGACTTTGTTACTTCTAAGGGCACATAGCAATTAAAACAACTTCTAACTTTCCTAACTGACAATTCGATATCACAAAAGAGAAATATAAAAGGGAGTCCATTTTCCTTCGTGAATAGGAGCCTATCCTGCAACGCCACAACTTCAGCATCTGTATAAAATGATTTCTCTATGGAACGAATCCATGGATAAAATAATAGAATAAAACTTGATGCAGCGGAAGATTATAAGAAAGACAAAAATCCACACAAAAAGAATTTCAACGAAGAGAAATTTAAGAAAACTTTATTTCATTCAAAATTGGGTTGTCTCAAAGGGCTTACAACGTTTAAATAGCGAAAAACCTAAGAAAATTCG